GCTTTGATATGAAACTAGATATGATGCCTTTTTCCAGATTATGTTATCCAGGAGTCACCTACATATTACTAGGGAGGGATATGAACAGACCTTCCATTGTTGTATCTGCTAATCATAATTTACTTGATTAGGAATACGATGAGTATGCAGATTCCCACGCTAAAAGTATTTTGTGTTCATGTTCTGTTTTTGTCACTTAATGTCTCCCTTAATCTCATTTTTATGTATGTAAGGCTTTTGATTGGTATTTTTTTGACCAAAATAACCGTATTTTTCATAACTGTTATCATATGCTTAATGTAACGTCCCGATTCCCAGGTATTGTTTAAATAAGAATTTAATTGGTTTCAAGGCCTACTCGACGCGTTGGTTGCCCTACTCGTCGAGTAGCAACGGGTTTGGTACGCGTGTTTAGTGACCTACTCGCCGAGTCCATGAAGGGACTCGACGAGTAGGAGTTGGCAGAGGAAACCCTAAATCCCGGGGTTTTGCACCCTATTTAAGGAACCATAAGCCTCCTTTGGCCTCTTTGCAGTTCTAGAGAGCTCTTGAGAAACCCTAATTCGTGTGGTGCTCTATTGTGTGTGTATTAAGCTTGGGAGGAAGATCTTTGGAGAAGAGGAACTTGGAAGGCAAGGGAATTGGAGCAAGGAAAGTGTGGGAATCAGAATCTAACCTCATTAGCATCTTCAGAGGTATCAAGTCGCACCTGTACTTCTTTTCCCTTCTAGATCTCTTTTTGGTTGAGTTTGGGGCTTTTATGGATCATTGAGTTGATAAGGTGGACTATGGGCTAGATCTGAAGTTGTAACTTCAGATCTGGACCCTTCTTAAGTCCTAGAGTCATAAAGTTTCTGGTTTGGGCGTGAATGAAACCTCTTTGAGTATGAAACCCACATTGTAAGCTTAGATTTGACATTAAGAGCCTTTGTAGCTATGCATGCACGTAAAGTTTGCAACTTTACGTGAAAAGCATGCCTTAGAAGCTTGGATCTGTAGTTTGGAGCCACTGCATGGCTCAAATGAGTCTGTATGGCATAAAGGACTGAAGGGACTCGGCGAGTCGCATGGTCGACTCGGCGAGTCATATGAAGATAGGCATGAACTCGGCGAGTTGGAAGAACAACTCAGCGAGTCCAATGAAGATTGTCGTAGACTCGACGAGTGTATGAACAACTCGGCGAGTTGGATGAGGTTGCCCCAACTTATGTATGCGCGGGTAAAATGTCGAGTTGCAAGAAGGAAGCTCGACGAGTGGCCTTAGGGTCTCGATCGTAAAACCAAAGGAACTCGACGAGTCACTCGGGTGACTCGGCGAGTGGGTTAGTACTTCAAGGAACTCGGCGAGTAGTCAGGGGTACTCGGCGAGTCGAGGTCAACATGGACTGTTGACCTTGACTGATGACTTTGACTTTGACCAGGATTGATTAGTTGGCTTATGGGTATGATTATACTATGTTTATAGGTGGTGGAGTTGTGGCAGTGATCGAGGTTGAAGTTTAGCTACCGAGTCGACATCTGCAAGGTGATTTTTCCTCACTATATCGATAGGGTCTAAGGCCAAGGTCCGGGGTCCGGCCTTTTAGTTGTTTTATCGTTAGGTATGCTACATGTATATGTGCTGTTAGATGAGAATCAGGATAGACAGTATGTTATGCTCTTATATCCGTAGGGATTGATGTGTTAGTGACCTGCAGGTCAGTGCTCAGTTATAAGAGATTGCTATGTTTGATGCTCAGTGAGATAATATGTTTGATTGGTTGTATATGCCATTATAGTGTAGTTTATGCGCACATGGTTACTGTGCTTGTTGCTTGGGTTGAGGCGGTCCTGCTTTGTCTGAAGGCCAACACACCCTATGAGCGGTTCGGGAAGACTGTAGGCCCACATGGCGGTCCAGTCATGCCGAAGGCTCGGTATAGATTCAGTGGCTGTAGGCCCTGTAGGGCGGTCCAGTCAGGCCGATGGCCCAGTATGCATGTTGATTGATTGATTATTACGGATATGGTATTATTAGTGTGGTATTGGTATTTTGGGGGGTAGCTCACTAAGCCCTCGTGCTTACAGTTTTCAGTTTATTGTTTCAGGTACTTCAGGAGTTCATGGCAAGGCGAAGGCGTGACCGTACCGCTCCTCATCCTTATGATCTGGCTTTTGGGACACTCTGATTGAATAATGAATTGAAAACATTTTTGTAAACAATACTATGGGGTTTTATTTATGCTTGAAAAGTTTAAATTTGGTGTAAAATTTTTGGATGTGACCCTTAAACAGACTATAACAACAAAATTCCTTTGAACATCTCTATAAATTGATTTCTTCAAGGTAGGTTGCAGCCATGAAATTTATGCCTAATCAACGAATGATTTAGGAGGTTTGGAGTTGCGTTTTTCAGTAGTATTGCACCCATTGCTTCTGCAGTTAGTGAAGCATTTAGGTAATTTTTCTTTGCACTAATTCTTTAAACGTCCCCATCAGAAAAAAACACAAATTGCATGTAATAACAAAAAAAGTTTTTGTTAATCATATGGACAATGTAATTTTATTTTTAACTATAACATTATCATATATTTATTTTTATGGTTTTTGGTTTAACTTTAAACAACTACTACGAAATGGGCTTTGGTTTAATGGAATTTCTTTAGCTAAGCTGTAATATCTTATTTTTATCAATACAAAGAAAACAAAATTTGTGGAACAAGGTTTACTTGGTTAAATGTTGTACCTCTACATTGTATAAAAGTAGCAGAGGATAGCAATTGAGAACTCATTTTGCTTTGAAAATGAGTCATATGAGAAAAACCAACCACCTTAAGGTTTATTATCTATACTTGAGTCTTATCTTTTTAGCATGTTTGAATGGTAGTAAAAATCTATTATGTTCTTGAACATTTTCACCAGTTCTTAGTTTTGGTTATAAGGTGGGAAATGTCACTGCTAAGGATTTGAATGTTGATAAGCTGGTGGGAAATGTCACTGCTAAAGATTTGAATGTTGATAAGTTCACAGAGAAAAACATTTGTTATCATTTATTAAATGGGAATCTGTGGTATAATAATTAGAATTCTTCGTCCTTATACGTTTCATTCAGTTTGTAAACATTTTTAGTTCGTAGATGGTTAATCCAATCTATGTTATTTTAAAATTTTATATTCTAACATTTGTTTTCATTGATGTAATAAAAATTTTCAATTTGTAACATTTTTGTAATTTGAAAGAAAATTATTTATTTATAACATCATATATTTATTTCTTCCAATTACAACATTGTACTTTGAAGAATCTACTTATTTTGGTTGATTTCTCAAAGTATATTGTCTTCACAGGGAAAGTTCAATGTTTTGGGTTGGAATATTTTCAACAAGTATGATATGTTATTTATGTTGGTTGTCATAAGTACATTGCTATATTGTTAAATATATGATTATTTCTTATTCTTTATCTAGTGTATACCCATCAGGACTGAATAATAATAATAATAATAATAATAATAATAATAATAATAATAATAATAATAATAATAATGTTAAGATTGATTAGGTTTTTGATATTTTACACAATGATTTGAACTATTCCATCACAAGTGGGGATGATACGCAAGTGGTTGCTTGACTTGCTTTTTTCTCTTATAAATGTTTTCCTAAGTTTACAAAATAAACTATTATTTACTTTAAAAATTATATTATAATATAACCGCTTTATAAAAAAGTCTACAAAAGCATAGTATATTCAAGGAAATTTTGGTGTACTTTTAAGTTTTAATAATAAACTATAGTTACATATTAACCGAATATGAATTAGATTATACCCACTTATTTTTGTCAAATTATTGATTTATCAATCATATAATTATATTATATGGTTACATGCTAACCGAATATGAATTAGATTATACCCACCTATTTTTGTCAAATTATTGATTTATCAATCATATACTTATAGTATATGATTGTGAGTATTTAGTGATAATGATTTATCAATCAAATATAGTACGTTAATTTATCAAAAATATTAATTTTCCTTCTTTTACTTTAATTAGTAGACGTACATATTAATTTGATGATAACATTTGACTAAATAAATCTCAGTTGTCTTGAATGATATAAATAGGATGCACATAACTCGACTTGGGTCAATTTTTTTGGCTAATACCAAACCAAAACAACATTTTTTTTGCAAAACTCATATAGGTTGTTTTCAGTTTGGTCTGCAGATATTCAAAATAATGTATATATATTAATTTTAACTAATCATTATAATTTTGTTGATAAAACTTATATCGATTTGAATTAATAAAATTTTAAAAATCTTTGATTCTTCAATACCATTTTTATTTATCAATAATGTTTTTATTTTTTAAGTCCGGATTTTAACCTAGTATATATATAATAACAAAGATGAAATCAATCAACACAATTAATAAACAACTTTTTTTATAAGGGTATTAAATACGGGCATTTGTAACCATAAACTTAAGAACGCATAGTCCTGTAATTATTATGTATATCAAAGTTTCAAAGTTTTCGATAAACATAAACCACACGAATCTTTCGTATATTTACAACACCCATCCAAAATCGCCATGGCCAAAACAGTTGTTTCCACCATCAGTTCTGTCGCCGCGGCTGCAACGGTGGTTCGCAGTGTCGCGCGCGATTACTTACCTCCTGAATTCCAAGACTACCTCCATTTGGGGTTCCGAAATTTCATCAACAAGTTCTCCACACAGTTAACCATGGTCATCTACGAATTCGATGGGTTTGCAGAAAATGAAATCTACAAGGCCACAGAACTTTACCTTTCCACCCGAACTTCTCCCCAGATCCACCGTATGAAGCTCACCAAGCACGCTAACGAGAAAGACATCAACGTCGCCATGGATACCAACGAAGAGTTTACCGATATCTACAATGGAGTCAAATTCAAGTGGTGTTTAGTGACTAATAAGGCGCCGACGAGAGAATATTACCGCAACGATGGTATGAACAGATCTACCGGATCCGATCTTCGAATGCTTGAACTCACATTTCATCGGAAACACAAGGATCTCGCTTTGAAGGAATACCTCCCGTTTATACTTAATGACTCGAAAACGAGGAAGCAAGAAGAGAAAAGCGTGAAACTATTCACTGTAGATACGATGATGATGCGTTCCGGCTTTCCGAGGATGTGGGTGCCGGTGAATCTAGACCATGACCATCAGGCGAATTTTGCGACGCTGGCAATGGATATAGATGTTAAGGAGAAGGTGATGAAGGATTTAGACAGGTTTATAAAGAGAAGAGACTACTATCGGAAAGTTGGAAAAGCATGGAAGAGAGGCTACCTGTTGTATGGTCCGCCGGGGACTGGAAAATCAAGCTTGATCGCAGCCATGGCGAATTACTTGAATTTTGACATCTATTACTTGGAGTTGACTGATGTAAGGTCAAACTCGGAGCTGCGGAAGTTGTTGGTGGCGACTGCTAATCGATCGATATTGGTGGTGGAGGACATCGATTGCTTGTTGGAATTGCACGATCGGGTACCACCGAAATCTTTTACCCGGCGAAATAAAGGAAGGGGCTACCATGAAGAACGCAAGGTTAGTATATCCATTTGTAAGATTTGTTTATATTTAATTTTTATATCACCAAAATAGATTAACTTTTTATGTTTTAATAAAAACGATGGAAATGAGTTAAAAATTTGGCTTGATTATATTGGTTATTAATTTGATAATTATATATATTTTTATTAGGTAACATTATCTGGATTTCTCAATTTCATTGATGGATTATGGTCGAGTTGTGCTCATGAAAAGATAATCATATGTACCGCAAACCAAAAAGACAAACTTGACCCTGCACTCCTCCGTCCAGGTCGTATGGACGTTCACATCAACATGTCTTATTGCACTCCGTGCGGGTTTCGGTTACTGACCTCTAACTACCTTGGGATCACTGAACACAATCTTTTTGAGGAAATTGAAGATTTAATTGTCAAGGTGGAGATCACTCCTGCTGAAGTAGCAGAGCAACTATTGAAGGATAATGATCCCGACATTGCTCTTGGTGACCTCATCAATTTTTTTGATGTGAAGTTTAAGGAGAACGAAGAGGCAAAAGCAAAGGCAAAGGCAAAGGAAGAAGAATCTGCCAACATTAAAGTAGAGGAAGAAGAAGAATCGGTTGCAAAAGAGAATAAGAAGAGGAAGAAGAAGAATCTGTTGCAAAAGAGAATGACACGAAGAAACAAATTGATATGAATGGAACTGATTTAATCAATCCACTATTAGAAAACTCATCAAGGGATTGATTTAGCCATACGCCTATACACCCTATCCGTCCAGAGGCGATGCTACATGTATCATTGTATATAAAAGGTGTCTATCGACACTCCTTGCTTTGGAATTTCAGTTATGTAAAAAAATTATAAGGACACCCTTAGATTTCCGAATAAAAATTTAATAAGCATGCGCAATTCTAAATTCTAATTTGTAACAAACTATAACAAATTAAAACATGAAAGGTAGAATAAAATAGGAAAAAGAAATAAGGAAAACTTGAAAAGCCCTAAAGATTTTGATAAAAGCATTGATAATCAACATAACTGGTTTCGCGGTTAACCCACCATCGGTTGCCTGCCTCCACAACTCTGGTTGCGGTCACAATCACTATATTTTGTTGCTGCATGCTTCTTCGTCTGGATCTACCACGGTTTCTGTCCATCCATCTTTTGCATGTCTCTCCTGTTTGTCCACCAAAATCGAGACAGTAGTTGTGTTCTTGAAAAAAAATTTCATGGTTGATTTAAAGTCTTAAGTGAGAAAAGGAGAGGTGTGAGTTCTTAGATATGTAATTGTAAACTATAAAGTGAAAGAAAATTTAAGAGTGAACAGATAGTTAAATTATTGTGTGACAAGTAGGCATAGCTATCAATTTACTTAATTTGACAAATTGGCGTTAATTACTTTTATGTTCACATTCATATTAAATCTTGCTAGTTGTACGTAGGCCTGGTAATGGAGCGGGTTTTGACCCTGATCCCATCCAAACCCTTAATAATTATGTGGGTTTGGATCATAGTTTTTGATCCGTTTACCCGTCAACGACCCGTACCCGCTAACCCTTTTATTAAAAGGGTCGGGTATGGATCATCACTGTTCCGATCCGTTTATGACCCGCTCCGTATAAATTTTAGAATTATAAATTTATATTTTATACAACCTAAAGTTTACTTTTAATTCTAATCGAAAGTCCAAGGAGAAAAGACCAAAGATTAGATTGTTTTTATATAGAAATCGAGAACTCGACTTCTAGACTTTCAGTATTCTAACAAGAAACATGATGTCATTTCATTTATATTTCATCAACCAAACAATCATTTATCAATCGGAAGAAAGTGTAAAATTCTTATTCTCTATCAATGCAATCGACGGTCACAAACCAATCAGAAGTTACTACGAAAATGATTTTAATTCCAATCGAAAGACCTCGAGTACGTAATGTGTTATTTAAATCAACATCTGTTTTATTTAATAAATGTTATTTTGAGGTTTAAGTAAAATGCGTTTGATTATTCAAAAAACTTACGGGTTACGGGGCAGGTTTGGATATATCTGTTGATTCGACGGATAAAGGTATGAGTTTGATTTTTCAAAACCCTACGGGTTACGGAGCGGGTTTGGATCGGAATTTGAAATGTGTTAAATGGGTTTAGATCAAGGTCGATTCGCTCCAAACCCGCCCCATTGCCAGGTCTAGTTGTACGTATATTGCTATTGGTTTTAACGGACGCATGGGTTAGAGGTTTTTTTTTTTTTTTTTTTTTTTTGAATTTGTTTGTTGTTGGTGTAAGTGTCTAAGTGAGGGTGAAGTGTCTATTTTTGTTAACAATGTTTATCGGTTTGTTATATTTTGTGGCTTTAGGGATATAAATGGCAAAATGTAGTGCAACCATTTTATGATAAAGTTGATATTTAGATGCAAGTCTGTTGCTTTCTTTTTGATTGAAAGATTGTAGCTTCATAACGAAATAATATATTGACTTTCCAAGATAAGAATTAATTAATCAATGTGTAAAAATTTGATATAAAGTGCCCAAGGAATATACTACTACAAAAAAGAGCATGCCAAAACCATTGGTAATCCGTCGCTAATACTCCTTACCAAACGGAATTGTAAGAGACCAAAATCCATCGGTATATTCTTGTTGCTAATTGTTTGTAATGGATTTCCAATGGCTACGACTAATTTTTAGCGACAGATTATTCCGTCGGAAATAGTAACGGATCACCGACATAATATTTCTTGCAACGCATTACCGACGGAATGCGTTTGCAAAGGATTACCAGCAATTTACTACTTACCGCCGGAATCTCGAAATAACTCACTAACGGATGACCGACAGATTTTTTGTGACAGATTAGTGACGGATTTTGGCATTATAAAAAAGTTTATAAATTCATAAAAAATATAAAAATTAAAAATAATTACACATTCAACACATAAAGTTTTTAAACATAAATCAAATCTATATTCTAAAACCAATAAATATAAAAGTAAATCCATAAATTTCAATCCATTAAATCCATATTCGACATACATTAAATCCATAATTTCAATCTATATTCGATATTTAAAAATGCATCAAATTATAAGTTTCATATATAGTTCTCATGACCTCAACAACCAATGGAGAGTATCATTCTTGATTAGCTCGTGGATTCCACATCTATCATTGAGAGTTGTTAGCTAAAGAGATATTTATATATTGTCAAATACCATAAATGCCCTCCAATGTTGATAATAAAGGGGAATAAACAAGTAACAATTATGATAATGCATAAAACAAATGTGATTTTAAGTACAATATTCCTCCACGTGGAGTTTGAATAAAAAATAGTTAATGATGAGAAATAGCAACATACTTTTATGAAATTCTTCATTATAATTGCATACTTCCAAATAATCATAATAGGAAACCATTTTCGTTTTTTTTTCACGATTATACAACATACTTTATGTTTTTACTCAGAATTCCTAATTACAACTTATATGAAAGTAGATTGCTACTTCATACTATATGATGCCATAATCAAGAACTTTGGTAAAGTATGTTGCTATTTCTCAATATTATGGATAAACATGCCACAATGTTAAATTGGGTAGCTTTCTTAATAAGAAAAAAAGAAAGTAGTATGCTCTACGAAAAATAAAATAAAGGAAAGTTTTGCTATAAACAGAGTAATCACCTTCTTGATAAGTTTTCAAGTGAATACTAACTATAACAACATTTGTAATTACCTTCATGAGGTCAGAGTTATAGTTAGTCTTCATTTGGTGGGTGGGTTTAAGTTTCTTCGAAAGACAGTTCGCTGGATGGAACAACTGCTCTCTCTCACTCTCTCCCCCTTCTATCTATCTATCTATCTATCTATCTATCTATCTATCTCTCTCTCTCTCTCTCTCTCTCTCACACACACACATTAAGCAAAGCAAATCCTTTTCTTCCCCTCTTCTGTCTTCTATCTCTAGCAAAGATTTGGATTTAAAACCTAAAAACACAAACATTTTGTTTCAGGAAGTTTATGACCAGGAGTTCTAGCTCTATAGTAGTACCACCCATGGAAGATCCGAAATCGATTATTCGCAAAAAGAAGGAAAAGGCAATCGGAGAATCAAGCGGTTTTTACAAAAAGATAGAAGATCGCGAGCCAGAAACACCCGAATTTGAAGAAAAAAGTGAAACTGAACCAGAAGAAGAGATGGACAACATTGCAGACATACCCATGGGCAAATAAAAAGCGAGGATGTGTGACGATACCGGGCCAGGACTCGTGCAACCCGCGATTCCAGCAACTGCGAACTTTAAGCCGAAAGGTCACATACTCGTCCAACTGAAGGACATCCCATTCTACGGGAAGGATCACAAAGACGTGTACAAGCATATCAACGAGGTCAACGACATAGGCGACTACTTCAACATCCCTAATGTGCCTCGTGAGACTATTCTACATCGTATGCTACCAGTTACGTTTAAGGGAGCCGCAAAAGATTAGCTAAAATCACTCCCTCCAGGATCCATCACAACATGGCAAAAGATGCATGAAGAATTCATTGATCAGTTTTTCCCACCATCTAAAATAGCAAAGTTGAAGAAAGCCATTGCAAACTTCGAACAACAAGGAGGCAAGTCACTGTATGAGGCGTGGGAAAGATACAAAGGCTTGTTGAGGAATTACCCTCATAAGGACCTAAACATTCAGCAAGAAGTCTCTATATTCTATGATGGAGTGAATGTGACATCCAAACAGCTCCTTGACTCCCAATGACCACTCACAAAGAAAGCACCAACAGTGATTAAAGAGTTAATTGAAGAATTCTCCAAGCACTCAAGAGAATATCATAACCCAAGGCACGACTCAACACGAGGGGTGATGAATTCAGTTTCTGATGACATGGCGGCAGTGATGGCTAAGTTAGAGAGCATGGATCGTAGGATGACAAAGATGGACCAATCCATCCACGCCATCCGAGTGGGATGTGACAATTGTAGCGGACCCCACCTTACTAAATATTGTGACCTTGATGAGAACGGGAACCGGAAAGCACAAGTTTTCTATTCGAGTGGCGATAGGTTTGGTGACGATTAGAGGAAACCGAAAAAGAAATGGCTACCATATGATGAGTATAAGAAGGAAAAGGAGGAATAGTATAGGCAAAAGGCAAGAGGTTTCAATCAAAAGGAAGAACCGATGCAAGAAAAGAAGACGGATTTTGAAGCTATGTTTGCACGTTTTGCGAGTGCATCCGAGAAAAGACATGATGAAGCCGATGCTTCTATAAGGGAGCAACAAAACATGATGAAAGAAAACAAAATTATCATGAAAGATCAACAAGCTCTACTTCGTAATCATCAGACCTGAATCCTTAACATAGAGAAGCAACTCGGTCAGCTAGCGAAACAATTCAACGAAAGAACATCGGGCAGACTTCCTAGAGACACCGAGAAGAATCCAAGAACGACTCATATAAATGCAATAACAAAAAATGAGCAAATTTTCAATCCTATGACTCCAATCTGGAATGAAGATCCAAGGGTGTTGCAGAAAAAAAAGAGAAGAAACTCGGAAATCGCAAACAGAGGAAAAAACTCGACGAGTTGTGCACCTGATGAAAAAAATAATCCTCCTTTAAAACTGTACCAGCCTCCCTTACCATTCCCAGGTAGATCCATACAAGATAAACAAAATGAAGAATACAAGAAGTTTTTAGAGCACGTAAAGGCCCTCCAAGTTAACATCCCGTTCCTTCAAGCAATAGCACAAATGCCCAAATATGCAAGATTCCTTAAAGAACTCACCACAAATAGAAGGAAGATGGAGGATGTCTCAGAGATAGTTTTAAATGAAATTTGTTCAGCCGCTATGATGAATGAACTACCAGAAAAGATGGGCGATCCAGGAAATATAACGTT